TTGCTTCCAGGTTCTGTGACAATGCTGGGTTTCTGTGGAGTGCAGTGATTATGGATTCGTTCTACCACTAGCTCAGAGAAAGGAGAAAGGTCTTAAGTGAATTAGCACGATTTCAAACCAGAGTGATCGATCAAATAAATCCTGACCACTTTAATTGGTTTCACTAAATTTAATTGGTCGTAATTTCACGACGATACGTTTGATTTAGCTGACGAATCTTACCCCTCTGAGGAATATCATGACATTATAGCATAGCCATAACAGTTGATTTTACACAATTACAGTGTGTGAAAGCAATAATTTAATATATTAAGACGTTTAATGATTTTTAAGGCAAGTCATTGCACATTATGATCTCTGAAAGTGCAGAAATTATTCTTCAAGGCAATTTATCACACGATTATAGTAAATGATGTGTTGAAGATCATTTAATAACAGCATGCTTATGCTGGAGTGGTTGCACAGAAAACATGGATGTTATGGATCGCCCCTTTAGGTGTCTCTGGTGAAAAAAAATCTCATCTCAGTGACTGTAACCGTTCAGAAGAAACATTTGCTTAGGGCTGGAGAGTGTAATAGTCAGAGGTCATTGCACATCTGGCTAGGGACTGATGCCAGATAGAATAAAAATCTTAAAAATAAATCAGCGAGAATTTAATACGTCTTGGGCCTAATCAGTAATTCGAACTGACCCTGATTTCACTGTTCTCTGTTGTTGCATATAATTGTTCCTGATCCACGTCATTAGCAGTCTGAACGACTGTGAGTTCTGTAGCTCGTGAAGCATTTGAAAACTATCAGCCTCTCTGATCTACACAGCACTAGCAGAAAATGATAGGAGCAACATTTCTACTTTGGCCACAATTGAAAAATTGGCCTAAAAATGTGCTTGAAATTGCATTGCTTGTGTTAGGCTTCACTTCTGTGCTAACATTTATTTGCATAATCACAAATGTAAAATCTTCCATAAGACAGTACAATCAGTTGATGCAACAAAACAGAATCACTTCCTGCATTCTTCTCTGTCCATTAAGTTGTGATTTGTAATGTATTTCAGTATGATAACTTGATGTAGTTTTATTAATACAGCTCAAAATAGGTTTAGCATAGAGGTAAGAATTTTTAATCAAAGTTTCCAGCTCTTCACCTCTGGACAATACAATTTCATATCATTGAAAATGTATTTTAAAGATCTACACTAAATCATTTCAGATTGTAGTGGAAGGCAATGGCCAAGTGGTACTATTGCTAGACTATTAATCCAGAGATCCGGGTAATTTTCTGGGGAAATACAACAGAGAACTGCAGGTGCTGGAGATCTGAAATACACAAAAACTTAAATTTCCCGAATAATTTCCTGACCGCTGTGTAAGGCTCGTTGACCCGTAATTTCCCAGATTTTAAACAATGCCCTTTTTAAACAATGTTGGCTATTTTCCAACCCTCTGGGTCCCCTCTTCTGTGACCAAAGAGGACACAAAGATTTTGTACAAGGCCCCTGAAATTTCCACACCTGCCTCCCTCAGCATTCTCGGATAGGTCCCATCAGGTGCTGGGGTCTTGTCTACTTTAATGCTTTTCCAGCACCCAATACCTCCCCCATTTTTATATTGACATGTCCTAGAATAACAATATAACCCTCCTGACACTAACCATTCACCATGTCATTCTCCATTGTGATCACTGATGTAGAATATTCGTTAAGGACCTCATTGACTTCCTCTCACTCCACCCATAAATTCCCTCCTTTGCCCTTGAGTGGCACTATCCTTTTCCTCACTACCCTCTTGCTCCTTATGGATAAAACGCATTGGGATTTTCTTTAATCCTGTTTGCCAAAGACATTTTGCGGCCCTTTTAGCCCTTGTAATTCCTTGTTTGAGTTCTTTCCTGCTATTTTTGCATTCTTCAAGTGCTCTGTCTGTCTTCAGTTTCCTGAATCTTACCTTGACCTTTTTTGCTTTTTGAGCTGTCAAGTTCCTCAATCTTGCCACCTCTCCACCCTAACCTCTTCCTTCAGGCAGGAAATACAAAACACATGCACCAACGGGTTCAAGAACAGCTTCTTCCCCGCTGTTATTAAACTTTTGAATGGACCTCCCAAATTTGAAATTTAATGCTGACCTCGCTCTTTGTGCACCTTCACTGCAGCCATAACATTGTATTCCTCACTCCGTTCTATAACCCATGCGCTTTGTATCATATGATCTGCCTGTACTGCACGCAAAAACTTTCACTCTACCTAGGTACATGTGACAATAATAAATCAAATCAAATCCTTCGCAGTATGGACTAATGATGAGGATACCATAAGTTCAAATACCATTGTAGAAGGTGGAGAATTAATTTCAATAAAATACATTTTATCGAATTTGCAATAAGAAAAGAACTAATATCAGTAATAGTGAAATAACAAGGATGTTATGAAAAACCCATTGGCTTTATGAACATTTTTTAGGGATGGAAATCTGTTGTCCTCATCTAATCTGGTCTGTATGAACATGTGTAGCCATGGTGAACTGATTAAGTACTACTACCTGAAATAGCCTCAAAAGCATTGCATTATATTCATGCAGAAGGCTCACCCACCCCCTTCTCAAAGGCATAATGGGAGTCAGGAATAAAAAGTCACCCTTATCAGTGATGCCTGCATGCCATAAAGCAATAAGAAAAATAAAACTGATGTTTAAATTCCCACCGTGTGTCCCTCAGTTTTTGCGCTGGTTCAGTCCATTCTATCTTTTTCTGTAGATATTACCGAAAATAAAAATGTGTACTCTTTGTGAATGGTTTGGATAAAAGAGTGTCAGTTATTGAAGTAAGGAATGAACAGTCCATGGCATTTCCAGAACAGTATCATTAAACTACTTAAGTGAAGAGAGCTCAACTGATACTTAAAGATGAAATGTTGAATTTCTAGACAGCACCAAAGCCATAATGAAATTTGAGCACCAACAGAGGTTAAGCTTCACATTTCTTTGCTGGTGTTATGTAAAACAATAAAATTTTGAATAAAATCGAAAGGCCAAAAAAAGACAGAATTTCATTCTATTTATGGTGATTGTCAAAGTATTTTACATTGTTATTGTAACGAGGTCAGCCAAGTGGATCTCATATAATCTGACTTCCCTGATTGGGGCTGTTATCCTGGTCCAATCAGGGAGTCCTGGCTGACAGATATAAACAGGAATGCCCTCTTGTGGTGCAGTGTTGAAGAGTGTGCCTACCCCTGGACCAAGAGATGTGGGTTCAAGTCCCACCTGCTTTAGAGATGTATAATGGCACCTCTGAACAAGTTGATTAGGATAAATAGGTTAAATAAAAGAAAGATATAAGCAGGAATGTCAGGGGTTCTGTTCACTCTGTGAGCTGGCTCTGAGGGAGCTGGATCAGTGTCAAGGACCCTCCACGTGTAAATAAAGGGTATCTTGGTGACTGGCTTCTGTGGAGTTATTTCAGGTATGTGTTATGATCCCAGCTGATGTTACTGCTGTACAAGTTAGATCTCAGAACGAAACATCCAAATGTAAGCAAAATACTGCAGATTCTAGATAAGTGAAACACAAAGATTGCTGGAGAAACTCTGCAGGTCTGACAGCATCTGTGGAGAGAGAAACAAAGTTAACATTCCAAGTCCAGTTTGGTGGTTCTTCAGCAATGAACAGAAATATCGGACTCAAAACATCAACTCTGTTTCTGTCTCCACTGATGCTTCCAGACCTGCTGAGTTTTTCCAGTGTTTTCTGTGTTGGTCCCAAAATGAAATATGGCTTGATAGATCATATTTGTTTTAATTTAACGTGGTGAATCTTCACTGAAACATAAGCACACAAGGCTGTGAGTTTGATTTTAACAATAAGATAGAAGTTCATTGCACAAAGGAAGTAAAAAACAAAATAAATGAAATTAAACAATCTAAATATAACAAAGTTTGAATAGGTTCAAAATAGATGACAAAACAAAAACTTACCAACTCCACATCATCACTTTACAGTTATTGGATAAAAAAATTAGAGAAATTTCCCTCCCCTACCAAATGTACAGGTTTGACTGAACTGCCTCTTCTTAGTTCCAGTTTCGTGCAATGCCTTTGCATGGAATCCCTACAGTATGGAAGGAGGCCATTCAGCCTGTCAGGTCACACTGACCCTCCGAAGAACATCCCACCCAAACCCACCCCCATACTCTATCCCTGTAACCCTGCAATTTTCTTAAAAAATCTCACACAATTGAGATCTTAGATTTCCTCAGCTTTGAATAACCAATAATAAAGGTTTCTAACCAAACACTCCTGGTTTGGATGTTGCAGTAACCGAACTCTTCTGCTGATGTAATTTGTTTCCTTAACAGCTCTCCTTTTTCTAGGATAGGCTGTGCTTGTACATGACTTCACCGGTCTTCCCAAAAGCTTTCCAGCCTCTGGGTTTTTGTAAGCTAAAATCAATTCTTGATTATTCTGAACAAAACCAACTTGTATCTTTCATATTTTCTCTCTCCTGTCATAAACAAATTTCCATTAACACTCCTGAAGATGAATTCTAGTTTAAAATCATAGTTCCTGTAAAATGAACCTACTTAGTTTTAAAGCCCTTTATAAAAATAGACCAACACCCATAGCCATGAGGTCAAAATTCAAAATCTTCAAAAAGTGACTATATATGTAAATGTATATATGTTTCTATAATAATCTCATCACAGCTGCAGTATGTTTTAAAGAGAGTCGGTGATGTTAGTGTGAGGACATGTGATTGGAGGATGCAAAGCTTTCTTAAATGCTGAGGAGTTGGTGTTCCAAAGTGGTCTCTCCTGACCATTTATCCCATCATCCTTCACCCCTAACATCAAACAAATGTTCACCCATGACCCGCACCTCTGATGCTACACCCAATCATGCCCAAAGCTTTCAATTGACCCAATTTTTCCTATTAGCAGGATCATCAAACACAAATCTTGCTCAGTTTCGGAAATGGCTGGGCTAACTCTCCTTTTCTTTCTTTTAGCAGCATCACTTTGCAGAATTCCCACGTTTCAGGCTCCGGCCATTCCAGCGGTGGATGCAGCAGCTCCAGTGAGTCTGGGAGCAGCTCGGAATCTGACTCAGACAGCGAAAGCAGCTCCAGTGACAGTGAGTGCAACGAACACTCCCGCAGTGCCACACCAGAGGTACACAACTGATTGGTGATTGATTGATTGATTGATTTATAGTCAGGTGTGCCGAAATACAGTGAAAAGTTTTGTTTATGAGTTGTACAGGCCGATCATAGTAAGCAAAGGATGTACAGATCAACAAGACTCAGACAGAGGCATACAGGTTACATTGCACAGGGTGTGCGCTAAGTGAGATCAATGTTATTTAAGGCTAGAGAATCCATTCACCAGTCTGATAACTCTCCCATCTAATTAGTCAGCTTCATATGGAAATGAACGCGTCCTGCTTTTTATTTTGTTTTCATTGCCTCTGCCATTTAGATAGTAAAGAGCAGCATTGCTATGAGACCACAGAGTTCTGTTCCAGGTCACACATAACCATCCCTTCACTGTGGCTTTGTCAAAATCCTGGAAATCCCTTCCTAACTGCCCGGTGGGTGACCCTTCAGCTAATGGACAGTAACAGTTCAAGAAAAAGGTTGATCACCTCGTTCAGGAGGACAATTAGACATGGAAAAATAAATTCCGGTCTTGTCAGCAGTGCCCACATCTCAAGAGAGATCGTGTTTTAAAGACTATTCAGATAGACACTTGATTCCTGTTAACACAGACAATGCCTCATGTGTGGAAATGTCTTGAAAGCTCTGAGTTTGAAGGGTTAGATTTGAGTGCCGCCAGTAGACCTGGAACAAGATATTTTCCTGAACAGGGAAAATTATTTGAGGGGACAGTTAAAATAAAGGTAAAGTCACCACCATCTTACAGGACAATGGGACTGCTCTCTCATTAGAGAGACAGATGACTGGTGGTGGTTTAACCTGAGGTTCACCATGCCACAGGCAAGGGGAGAGATTGAGAAAGCACATTCTTCATGGTAACCTCAGCTGGTGTGGGAATTGAACCCTTGCTGTTGGTGTCACCCTGCATTGCAAACCAGCTGTCCAGCCAACTGAGCCACCTGACTAAGGTATAGCTTAGTGGGTGCAACGCAGTTTAGCACATGAGGGTGATTGGGCAGTTTTGTAACCAACTGTGTTGGGATCAGGAAGGTGTGTATAACTCTTTGGGAAATGGTTGAGTGACTGTCTGATATCTGCTCTGTGAAAAGTTGAGTTTTTCCTCCAACTTAAAAGTTCTGAATCAGGAAGTCATGACTGTTGCCACTATGTGTTGTCAGAATGTGATGAAGTAACATTTCCTCTTGCTTCTCCCAGCCTGAACCACCATCGACCAATAAATGGCAATTGGATAAGTGGCTCAAAGTCCACTCGCACAACAAGACCATCATCAACAACCAAACCGATTGTGATGGACTTGGTGATTCTGAACCTCAAAGCAATCAACAGAATGACAAAGAGATCAAAGGGAAGCAGACCATATCACAGCCTCAGCCAGATTCCAAAGATAGGGTCTTACTCAGTCCCATCAGGGAGAAAGCTAAACCAAGGACTGCACAGAAAACCCCCGAAGGGAAAAGTGTGAAGCAAAAGTCCCCTGTACCCAATGAGCCAGCTCCTCCAAGGAAGACCACGGGTAAGAAGCAGCCCAGGAGAGTGGAATGCACTCCCAGCTTGGAGGAACAGAGCTGGGCCAAGCCAAATAACCCCAGCAGTACTCCCAAAGAAAGAGACAGCCGAGGAGCTACAGCTGAACAACCCAAAGCAAAGCCGAGAACGGCCATTAACAAAACGGGACCCAGGAAAGAGCCAAGAACCAGCACAGTGCCTGCTGTTGACAGGAAAAAGCACAGAGTGCCTGGTAAGATTGTGCCTAAATCGAGAGAGTTTGTGGAGACAGACTCGTCGGATTCCCACACAGATCAAGAAGAACACATGCCAGTGAAAATCCCAGCGGGGTCTACCATCACAACAAACTCACTTCAACCTAAAGATTGCGGGAGCGTCAATAACTGTCCAAGTAGCACTTCCGCTGATGCACCTACTACTGACTTAGAGGAACCCTCATTCTCACCGCTTCCACTACCGCAAAATGAACTTCTTTCGCCCCTGAGAGATTACGAGGAAATTAAATCACTTTGGGTGAAGTTTGATCTCAGTCTATTGTCCAGGATTCCTGGACAGACCCCAGCAGAGACAACCCCAGTGAAGCCTGAGGTCAGAGAGTCCAACAGTAAATGCAGCTATCAGTCCCCTACAACAGTGACGGACAAAAACACCATCAAAACCAAACGGAAACATAAGGTTAGTGACCTTTCTCGAAAGGGCAGGCCCAAGGAAATTTGACAGTGAAAATTCTCAAACACTGTAGAGATAATGAGTATGTTAATGGACCAGTAATCAGAGACCTGGTGTAATTATCTGGAAGACATGATTTGATTTATTGTTGTCACACGTTCCTAAGCGCAGTGAAAAGTTTTGTTTTCCGAGCAGTACAGGCAGATCATAATATACAAGGACATATCGATCATAGGGCGTTTAGACAGAGTAAGGAATACGGGGTTACAGCTGCATGGGAGGTGTACAGAAACAAGAACAGCATTAGAATTGAAATTTGAAAAGTCCATGCATTTGAATCTTAACATAGCATCCGGGGAAGTTAAATTCACTGAACAAAATAACATCTGGAGCTTTTTGTTTTGAAGAAAGAATCAGTAATAGTGAGAACCAGGGGGTCATAGTTTAAAAGTAAGGGCTCACCTATTAAAAGCAGAGATGAGGAAACATTTGGTAAGGCAAGCAGGCTGGAAGGGCCTACTCCTCATTCTTCTGTGTGTTAACAGCCCGTCCGATTCACTGATGTCCCTTAGAGATGGCATCCTGCTTTCCCCATCCACTAAGGCCCACATGTGACTCCAAACCCACAACAATTTCACTGAAATAGCCCAACTGGCCACTCAACTGGTATTCAAGAAAACAGCTCCCCACAACCTTCTCAATGGCCCTTCATGCTGGCCTTGCCTGTGATGCCCACGTGGGACCTGGAGAGACAGAAGTTACAAAGGATACAGAGCAAAGAGTTGAGAAGCAGATCATCCATTGAGTGACAGCACTGGATGAAATGGCCGAATGGCTTCTTCTAGTTCATATCCAGCGGCCAGTGAACAGTTATTAAATAATCATAAATAATCTCAGCCAGTCTATTCTCGGCAGTGGAAATGAGATTTTTCCAGTCAGGAAAACGAAATGGAAAAATGTATTTTTTTTCTCTGTCTCCCAGAAGCAGCTTACTCCTAATTTAGGTTTCCACTATTTTAGCGGAAATAATTGAGATTGTTTTTTTTCTCTAGGCAGTTCCTGTCCAAACTTGTTAAATTCTTTTAAGACATTTAATATGATGATTAAGTTTTGGGTGTCTATTAGAGAGCGGCCTTACGTCAGTTTCAAGACTTACTCCCAAACCTGGTCTGCCTGGTCTGGTGTTCAGAAAGCCCAAACTTATTTCTTATTTCCAAATAGGTGGACTCCCTAAAAAGAAAACTTCTGTGTGTGAATTCTTTTCCTCCTGCCTCCTCAGGAGACCTGAAGACTTTTTCCACTCACCATTGTCTTCCTTTATTAGACCATTAATTCATGGCCTCTTCACCAGTGACAATGCAGGAGATATTTGCAGTTTGACAGTCTAATGTAAATGAGACCCAACAGAGGGTGAGCCAGCTTGGTTCTGGTGTAGGGGCTGTTTCTTCTGCCCAGTTTGTCTTGGTCTGCTAATCCCTATATCCCTGTAACTCCAATTATATATCTTTAGAAAGGCTATCAGAGAGACCTTTAAGAGAAGAAATTGTAAAGATTATGGCCAACGAGCAAGCAAGATAATTTGAAGCAAGCTACAGAGGACACTAGGCAATGTGATCTTCCTGAGATAGAAAGAGGTATCAATTCAACCAGTAGGCAGCTCCTGCCCAAACTTGTTAAATTCCTATGAAATGTTTAAAGTGATGGTTAAATTTTGGGTGTCCATTAATGAAAGGCCTTACGTTGGTTTCAAGACTTATTCCCCAACCTGGTCTGCCTGCTGTATTCAGAAAATCCAAACTTATTTCTTGTAATCGGTGGTTCCCACCAAAAAAGGGCAGCATTTGGCTCAGTGGTTAGCGCTGCTGCTTCACCCGGGTTCGATTTCCAGCTCTCGGGCGACTGTCTGTGTGGAGTTTTCATGTTCTCCTTGTGTCTGCGTGGGTTTCCTCCGGGTGCTCCAGTTTCCTCCCACAGTCCAAAGATGTGCAGGCTAGGTGGATTGGCCATGTTAAGTTGTCCATAGTGTCCAGGGATGTGCAGGCTGGGTAGATTAGCCGTGGGAAATGCAGGGTTACAAGGACAGGGTAGGGGAGTGGGTCTGGGTGTGATGCTCTTCAGAGGGTTGGTGTGAAATTGATGGGCCGAGTGGCCTGCTTCCACACTGTAGGAACTCTATGAATAGAGAATTAGAACCACGTGATCTGTCAAACATGAATCCTTTATAAAGCCAAAAGAAATGCGATGCTGTAAATCAGGAACAAAAACAGAAGTTGCTGGAAAGGCCCAGCAGGTCTGGCAGCATTTGTGAAGAAAAAATCAGAGTTAACGTTTCGGGACCGGTGACCCTTCCTCAGAACAGAATCCTTTATGATCCCTTGCTATAAGACTTTCTGTGCTGGCACATGTGGGTATGGTGGCCTAAAGTTAACAAAATGCACTGTGCAGTTTTCAGATCACATCGGGTCCATGAAAAACATCCATCGATTTCCACGGTCCTTTGCAGCACCATAACACGGGACAATATCGCCTCCTGATCTCTCTGCACATTGTGTTCACTGTCGTTCACAATCAATTACTGCCTTTCTTTAGCAGGTGGAAAATACAGAAGCTCTCTGCGATAGCAAGAAACAGCGTGTAGAAAGGGAGATAACTGCCCCGACACTTATACCTGTCAGCTGCCCTGTTCCTTCCAGTCACAAGATTCTGAGCAGCAAAGAGTGAGTACCTTCCGACTTCATCACTTTTGACTTTCATTTCAATAAATTTAACATTGTAACTTGTAAAGGGGATTTTATTCTGTGGAAATTTGTTTTTGTTTTCCCATTTTAAATAATATCTCATTCGATAAAATACTTAGAGATAGTAAAGACCTTTGAAGTTATGCAAAGGCTTGAGAGTGTTGACACAGACGTTTGTCTTTGGCCAGGATTAGGTATTATGCATATAGCATAGTCACTAATCAACCCAATCAGGAATCAGGAGAAACCTCTATCACAGCAGTGATGAAAATGTGAGATTTGCTGCCACAGAGAGGTGAGGAACAGGAGAAGACTTTGATATTCCAATCGGATTTTGTAGCAATCGTAGTAAATTGAGGAATAGTATTGAAAATTGCTGTTCATGACAAATATTAATGAAAATCATCAGCAATCTATGTCTGAACGAACTGAAAACAGGAAATGCAGTTGTGCACGAGGGGCCAAGGCAATGGATTAGAAATCCATTGGGATTACCCCCTCATAGATTCGAATCCTGCTGACAGTGATCCACATTTCTGTCATTTGGGGCCCTCTTGTGGCACAGTGGTAGTGTCCCTTCCCCTGGACCAGGAGGCCCAGGTTCAAGTCCCATCTGCTGCAGAGGTGTGTAACAACATCTCTGATCAGAAAAAAATAGTTTAAATAAGGAGCAGAAAGTGTCTGGAAAATGTGACAAGTCTGAGAACATCTGTTCCCAATGACTGGGGTGTCCAGAGCCCGGGGGACACTTGTCTAAGGGTAGGGGGTAGGCCAATTGGGAGTGAGATGAGGAGAAATTTTTTCATCCAGATAGTGTTGAGCCTGTGGTATTCTATGCCTCAATGTGGCTGAGGTCAAAACATTGAACATTTTCATACAGTTGGATGTAATTCTTGAAGCTGAAGTGATCAAAAGTTATGGGTAGAAACTGGGAGCAGTGACTGAGTTGGGTATCAGCCATGAACACAGGCTTGAAGGGCTGAATGGTCTCCTCCTGCTTCTACTTTCTAAGCTTTTTTTATGATTGGGAATTGAAGTTAACGTTGAAGAGTTGTATGTGACTTCTTCAGAGTCCTATTGTTTTTATATTTTAGATTTCCAGCATCTACAGTATTTTGCTTTCATTTACAACTGCGTCAGTGCAATTGGGAAGTATTTGAGGACTGAATTATTTTTATAGTCTTTCCATTGCAAAGATTCCTCTCAATATTGGCTGTTCAAAATCAATGTTGTAACAAGTACCTTGCCTCCAGGAAGAATATTAAAAGATACAGGGAGTGAATCGAAGAATGAGATGAGCCTAGAAGATGGAAAAGGATTCACTTGATGGTCTAGTGGCTTTTTGTGTTAATGAAACATTCTGTATTTGTATAACTTATCCCAATATTTATCCTCGAACATTCATTCTTTCTCTTGATGAACTAATGAACCATTCTGTGTTTGTACGACTTATCCCAATATTTATCAGACCCTCACATATTCGGTCTTCCTTCTCTGTAGGCTATCGAAGCAGTTAACAAAGAGGGAGAGGAAGTTCCCACCTCCACTGTCACCCTTGCCAGATGAACCCGAACCTAAGCGATGGAACAGCGAGAGTAACCCCCTGACCCAGGAAAACAACGGCAACACTATATCAGCCAGTGCCTCACAGTCGTCCGCACAGTACAAGCACCGGAAAGCTGACAGCAAGTCCTCTTCCTATGTAAAAAACCCCATCGTGAGTTACTGCTCTTAATTCTTTCTTACCTGGAGATGAGCAATGGTGGAAAAATACAGAGCAAATCCATGTGTGAACAAAAAACTCCAGGTTCATGTCCACTGTGGGCCAGCCCTTCCTTATCTCTTTGTCTGAAGGGGACTGCCTTGGGTCTCACCCCAGAGACCTGAACGTATGCTCCCAGTGCACTATTGAGAGAATCCTGTCTTGTCAGAGGTGCTGTTTTTTTTTTGAATGAGATGTTTTTCCAGTGATTCCTGATTTTACTTCTGATTTCCAGCATCTATAGTTTATTGGGCTTTTTTATTGTTAACTTAGAACATTTCTGTCATTTTAAATACAATATTGCTTTATCTACTAGCTGAAAGATCACACCGTAATGATATAATGTCAGCATTCTTTTTAAATTCATTCATGGGATGAGGGCATCACTGACCAGGCAGCATTTATTGACCATCCCTAATTGCCCAGAGGGCAGTTAAGAGTCAACCACATTGATGTGGGTCTGGAGTCACATGTAGGCCAGACCAGGTAAGGATGGCAGTTTCCTTCCCTAAAGGATATTAGTGAGCCAGATGGGTTTTTCCGACAATTCTCAGTGGAGTCACTGTTATCATTAGACTCCTAATTCCAGATTTTTTTGTTATTGAATTTAAAGTCCATCATCTACCATGGCAGGATTTGAATCCAGCTCCCCAGAACATTAGATGGGTCTGTGGATTATCAGTCCAGTGATAATACCAAGAATAAAATCAAGGCTCTGTTAGTCGTCTTGGATGGATGCTTCTGTACCATTATTCTGAAAAAGTAGATGAGAATTATTCCCCAGTCTTCTGACCAATAATTTTCCCTCAACCAGCATCACTGACAATCACGTTATCATGCCATTATCACATTGCTACCTGAGGGCCTTGCTGTGAGCAAATTGGCACAATTACTGTATCAGAGCAGTGACACCACTCGAATGTACTTCATTAGCTTCAAAGTGCTTTAAGCTGTTCTGAAAGGTGCTATATAAATGCAGAAATTCATTGCATAAGATTTAACAGTAAAGTGCCTAGAGCTAAAACCATCTGTGTTTTTTTTTCTCATTTTAGATTCTGTATAACTCAAGTGTTATTTTGTTAAATGGCCAGCTCCCAGTAGCTGGCTTAACACACTCGTAACCAAGTGGAATAAATGTTTTTTATGCATTGAATAAATTCATGCTGAAACGCTTAAAATAAAAAGGGATGATGGTGCTGTTTCCTGTTTGAAAGCCTAACATGAAGCACAGCCTGATTTGATTAAAGAGAACATAGCTATGTTTCTGGTAAATTGTGTGGCACCTTCACACAGAATCCTTCATATTTAGATTATACCTTTGAACTATTCATACATATCACTATTAGTAAGGCTGCACTACACAGTTTCTGCTAGCATCTTGGACATAACCTGAATTGATTCTGTTGCTATAGTAACAGCTCAGTTAAGTCTCAGCTATTATCATAATAGCCCTGGCCTGCTCAGTCTCTTCACAGATGAGATAAGGCTGTTCATTTTCAGATGGTATAATGCTCTTTTTTTTCAACATTTCCCAAAAATTTTGTTGGGTTTTTGATGCGGTAATTTAATTTTGCTGCTTTTTTTGCCACGAGGTGATATTTTCTGGTGAAAATATTTAGAATTGCAAAGGAAAATGTTGGCAAAGGAACATTTGTTTGTTCATGGATGTAACAATAATATGGTGGGATTCCAGTGAACAAATGCACACCTGAAAGCCCAATCTTCACCATTTTAATGGAATCATTGATTGTTTTCTTTTGCAATAAATGGGTCGAAGTCACCAATAAACTGAAAGCACTTTCAAGGATGAAATGACTTTTACTGCGTGTATAATGTGCTTTTAAAGGTTGATTGAGTGAACCTTCAAATCCCAACAGAGTCCTGCACTCAAAGGACAATGCTAATTGGGAAAATTACACTGCAGCGTTATCTCTTTTTTTACTGAAATATGCTCCCTTCAGTGCTGTCCCCAATTGTTCAAGAGGTGTGGTGTGAAAATGTGCTTCTCTTATTTGCTGACATTGCTTGAAACTCATACATCATTTTAATAACTATCAATTTCAATGAGCATTTGTATAATTTAAGTGATCAATTGTGTGACTGACCTTGAGTTGAGGGATACAGCACAGATCACACTGGGTGCAGTCTCCTTCAGAGCTAAATAGAAGGAAACACCAGACAATTATATATCATACAGGTGTGGGTATCACTGGCTGAGCCAGCGTTTAGTGAGACCTGTTTTGATGGGATAAAAGTCAAGTGGACTGCTTTATCCTTCTTGAGTATTGTTGGAGCTGCACCTTCAAGGCAAGTGGAGAAAAGTTCTATTACACTCCTGACTTGTGCCTTGTCGATAGCTGACAGGCCTTCAGGAATCAGGAGTTCACATACAGCAGAATTCCCAGCCTCTGACCTGCTCTTGTAGCCACTGTATTTATATGTCTAGGCAGTTTCTCATCAACGGTAATCCCCAGGATGTTCATAGTGGGAGATTCAACAATCGTAATGCCATTAGTGATGGTTGGATTCAGTCTCTCAAGCCTGTACTCGCTCTTTCAAAGAGCTGTTGAATTATATCCCACTCCCCTCTTCACTTGCAGCCATGCAAATTCCCCATTTTTGACCTTTTCAATTCAGCTACTGACACTCAATGACTAAAAGAAAATAGAAAGTTGTACTAAATCTACATCAGTGGAATATTTTAATCTGTGTCTACACAGTATTGTTTCATAATTCTAATACAGAAGTTAATATCTTTGACAGGTTGGCAGGAAGAGAGAGAGGAACTGAATCAAGGTGCTCTTAGCTATGTATCTTACTGTACTATGTCATTCCGAGAGTGCTTGAAGCCTTGCCTGCCCTCTGGGCAAGTTTGCCTCTGCAGAAACCTTCACTTACCTTGTAATACCCTCTTAGATCTAGATTGTGTTGTACCTATTGAACATTGGCCATACTTGGTTAATTGTGGCTCACATACAGAGTGATGTCTTTGAACTCTCAGGCCAGATACGGTGCTGTCTTAGATTCACTGCTAAACATTCTGCCTACCCTGGTTCTCTGAAGTAACATTTGTTTGTCATGAAGTCACTGAAGAAGAAAGGCCATGATCTACACATGACATTTTGATGTAATACTTCCCCACTGCGCCTCACCACCATCAGGTTTTGAGCCCCCACCAGTGTTAAATTTTACCCTCTGTAATTCCAAACCAAACAGACCATTTCCCACCCTGATCATTCATAGGATTATATGAGTAACACTTACAAATAAAGATCTGTCTGAACTCACTGAGCTATCCAGCCCTTCCTCACCTCTGTCATTCCCTTGTGTTTTCACTGCTTCACATAGTATTGACCTGTGAATGCTGGATACTTGATGACAAACTGAAATTGTCTTTGGGTGGGAGTTACTTACCACAACAGAGCAATAAATGTGACAGCCCATTGAATGACACAGACTCAATTAGGCTAGGAATTGGTGTTAAGTTCCAAGAAGGATCAGGAGTTGGCAGCCTGAAACAGCAGGAGCTTTAAAATGGAGGTGTTCATTCTACAGGCAAAAGGTTAGGGAGAGCTGTTTGCCTGCTCAAACTGGCCAATCATGTCATCATTGTCAATGCAGTGTGGAGCGGGAGGAACCCAGCAGGTCAGGCAGCATCAGAGGGGCAGGAAATTCAACATTTCGGGTTTACACCCTTCATCAGGACATTATTGTGTCACATGATCGGGCTCTTAAAGTGACAGCCCTTAGACAAACAGAGTGAAGAGTAATATTTCCTCCATTCAACGGTCAGACATTGAGAAAGTGTGTCAGTAATTTGTCTGACCTAAAACGAGAAGCAAAATCTGGTGGATGCTGGAGATCTGAAATACAAGTAGAATGCACTGGAGCAACTCAGCAGATCTGGCAGCATCATCCACGGAGAAAGTTAACGATTCGAGTTCCAAAGAGGAAGCATCACCTTCAATTCGGAATGTTAACTCTGTTTCTCACTTCACATTGCTGCCAGACCTGTCGAAATTTCCAGAAGTTTCTGTTTATCTTTGTCTGATCCCTCTGTTTAATCATTGGCAGTAGTAATATTAGTATCAGTGAAAATATCGCTGTCGCACGGAGGATGGTGACAGACAGGTACAGGTATCACGAGACCTGAGCTTGTTGTTAAAAGGGATTTCATGCTTCTTATACTAACAACCAACTCTTTATTGCAGGAGGTTGAATCACATCCGAACCCATCTAACATTAGCCATGAAAACGGCCAGTCGCAAATGGACCCCTGGACATTAGTATCCAATGGTCATTCAGAATCAAGAAGACCGAAATTAACTTTTGATGACACGTACGTTTTGACTCATATGACTTTATTGTTAACACATAACTCTGAAACATTAACTCTCCTATTAAACTTCCTCAGTTAACTGGAGTCTTACCTCTAAATTATGTCATAGCCTCAAGCCAGTTTAAGCAGAAGAGTGGTGGGGAACTCCCGTTCCTTTATCTGTTGTCTCTTTGACAGAAGGGTTACAGAAATCTTGGAAAAATGGCATGAAGATGTTTTGTGCAGAGGCCCATATTTCTAAACTTATGGGACGGGTTTTAATCTTTCCTTCAGCCAAAACTGGATACAGTTCAAGTTTTGATCAATGATCTTTATGCATACCTTTCTCTGTCTTGAAATCTATGGATCTGATAATGATTTAAGCCATTGCTTAAATTCACTTCATCAGTTCCATCCTAGATCCTTCCCTTTAGATAAGTTCAGTTAGGGTCATTAATTTCTCCTGTAACTGGAGTTAATCTGAATGCCATAACACTGTGTTCAATAGAGTAGCAGGAGCTACTGAAGGAACAGTGCTTATTGAAAGCAGTGGGATATTGAGTGTTATTTCCATCTTGATGAAGTGGTATCAGTGCAGTACTTGCCAAGACTAACATGTTTTGGAGCTCAAGGCTGCAACAGATGCAAGGTTTTTTTCAGTTCAGTCCGAGTTGGTCCTTCCGTCTGCCTATTTACAGCCACAGTTGGAGACTATCTGTTTTGCAAGGGAAGCATAGGGAGATTAGGAGTGTTGTTTGGCTTTTAAAGGCTGGCTGACCTCAATAATAGTGGCATGTATACCAATAATATTTGGGCATATGCTAATAACAATGGTGCATTATTTTGATAGTGATACATATATATTGATAATGCTGATACACATATTAATAAAGTGGGCCATATAGTCATGCCATTGATGATTATTCTTTATGGGATGTGGGTGTCAGTGCACCATTCATTGCCGGTCCCTAACTGCCCTGAAGTAATTGTGTAGATCCAGCTTCATGAACCATAACTGTTTTACTTTAGTACGACTCAGTAACTTATAACACCATTTCAGAGGGAAAATAAGAGTCAGCTGCGTTGCTAACAGTCTGGAGTCACATGTAGGCCAGGCAAAGTAGCGAGGGTAAATTTCCTTCCAGAAAGGATATTAACAAATCAGGTAGCTGTTTTACGCATAGTGTGTATCTGTTAGAGCATATGTATTAATAGTAGTGTTGAATGAATAATGAAAACCCATAACATAGAAATGTACAGCACGGGAATGGGCCCGTCGGCCCACAATGTTGGGCTGAACATGATGCCTCTCCCCCCAACAACAATAAGGATACAATCCCCTCAGTCCTCACATATCACCCCACCAACCTCCAAATGCAACACATCATCCTCCGACATTTCCGCCACCTACAATCAGGCCCCACCACCAAAAAGATATTTCACTGCACACCCCTGTCTGCTTTCCGTAGGGACTGTTCACTCTGTGACTCCCTCGTCAGCTTCACACTCCCCACCAACTTCTCCACCGCACCTGGTACCTTTCCCTGCAACCGCAGGAGCTACTACACCTGCCCCTACACCTCCCTCCCACCCCCCATCTCATCTTCGTCCAAGGCCCCAAACAATCCTTTCAGATCCGGCAGAGATTCACCTGCACTTCACCTAACCTGATCTGTTGTATCCGTTGCTCCCGATGTGGTCCCCTCTATATCAGGGAGACCGAACGCAGATTCAGGGACCAGTTTGCGGAGCATCTCTGCTGTGCACGTACCAACCAACCTGACTTTCCGGCTGCCATCCACTTCAACTCCCCCAGTGACATGCCCATCCCTGGCCTCCCCCACTGAGTGAGGCCAAACGTAAACTGGAGGAACAACACCTCATATTTCGCCTTGGGAGCTTACAGCCCATGGCCTGAATATTGACTTCACCAGCTTCAAAATTTCTCCTCCCCCAACATGTCCATCTTCCTACTCACCTATCCACTCCACCCTTCCCACTGACCAACCACAATATCCCCCACCTGTTTCTACCTATCTCCATCTCACCCACCCACCCCCTCTCCCATTTATCTCTGGGCTCCTCTACCCCTGCCCAGTCCTGATGAAGGATTTCAGCCCAAAACGTTGACTTCCCTGCTCCTGTTGTCTGAACTGCTGTGCTTTTCCAGCTCCACATTTATTGACTTAAATAAATTTCATCTGCCTGTCCTTGGTCCATATCTTTCCATTCCTTGCATATTCATACGCTTATCTAAACGTCCCTTAAATGCCCCTATCGTGTCTGCCTCCACCACCACCGCAGGCAGCCAGTTCCACACACCTACCACTCTCTGTGTAAAAAAATACTTGCCCCTCACATCTCCTTTGAACTTACCCCCTCTCACCTTAGTAGATAATAGAGCATATATAAATAATGGTGATTTCCAGGAGCTTTGTCTCCCCTTCTCTCATATCATTTTAATCACTGTACACAAGTTGCAGTTCTTAAACAATATAAAACTCCGCTTTATCCAGAGCACTGTAGGACTGCTGTCCCATTAGAGAGAGACGACTGGTGGTGAGTTTGACTTGAGGGTCACCACGCTTCAGGCAAGTATGAAGGTTGAGAAGACACGACCTTCATGGTAATGCTAATGATGCCTCTATGAGCAGCAGTGCATAAGTATAATGGGTTGGGTGTAAATTATATTTGCAATCTATTACAAGTACAGATTGCAAAATGTTGAGGTTGAGGATTAAACAGCTGGTACATTTGTTTACTTCTGTCCAGCTGTTCAGACAGGCTTGCAGCAGTACCAGTGCAAAAGCATGCTAAATAAAAACAACCGCTTCAAAGATAATGCCAGGACCAGGTGATTATTTTTCCCCCCTCAAGTAGACAATTGTCTTTTGAGTTCACTAGGACAAAGCCTTTGCATGGCTGTGTGTCTTGTCTTTCCAAGCAGCAAGTGTGATTTTACAGTAAGTGACAAGTGGCAGTGGTGGGGAGACATTAGACTCAGCACTCCTTTCTGCTGACCTCTGAGAACAGATTACCGTCCCCGGGTATGACAGAGACTGGCTGTTCAACTCTCCAAAAGCACAGATGCTTGACTGTGACTGATGATTACTGTTCTGCAGGTCTCATAATGCTGATTACTACATGCAAGAGGCCAAGAAGCTGAAACACAGAGCTGACGCACTGGTAAGACATGCTTTCTTCTTTCTAGTATTTTTTTTCTCTTGTATCAATGAAATAACCTAAATTAATAGTTACAAGAGGAGGCTGCTGCTGTATCGCTGGTGAGAAGTGAAATTATGTTGCCGCTTGGTGAGATTCACATCACTAAAGTTCTTTTCTTTTTTAATTTTCAGCTTGATAAGTTTGGAAAAGCAGTTAATTATGCAGATGCAGCACTATCATTCATTGAATGTGGAAATGCCATGGAGCGTGATCCATTAGAAGCGAAATCCCCATACACCATGTATTCTGAGACCGTGGAACTCATCAGGTTAATGTCTTTTTGAAGATAATTTTACTAATCATTTTTAGATGATAATTAATAACCTGCTGTGAGGAAATCAGGATAGAAGATTAAGATCTATACAGTGATGTCACATATCAGAACTTAATATTTAAAGTGACTTGTAACACATGCTATTTTGTTCCCTCATAATTTATGTATGTTATTATTTCATGATGTTTGGAATCACCTGACTAACTATGTGACCAAATAAAAAGTTCACCTTGCACCAAATCTATGGGAGATAATACCTGACCTCAGAGGAGCTAGGTAATGCATATGGTAAATTAACTCAGAAAGGAGAGGTCACATACTTTAGAAGGAAGAAAGAGGGAAAGACAGACTTGCACTTATATAGAATTTTGCACTCGGGATTGTTTAGTGAGCGCTGCCCAATTGTGAAACACATCCAAAAGTAAAAGTTTTGTTCCTGTTATTGGCGTGGGCCATTTGAGTACAGTCTTTTTGCTATCGCTTACAAATAAGCAAGAAAACATGCTGTTGATTCAATTTCCCGATCGTTTGGGCATACTGCCAATGTACCCAACATCGTAACAGCACTGGAACTCATGCCTGATGTTGCTCAATTGTGTGGTTGGTGGAAAATTATTTTTTGACTTATGGTGGCATTCTTTCGGAGTAAAATATCAGTCACGCCACCATAGCTCAGTAACAGCATGAAATGCTTCCTTGACTTGCTGTTCAGATTTTTGAAAAAAAAATGAATCCAAGGCCCAATCCAGAACTCGTATCAATAGTCTGATTTCCTACAGCAACAAAGTATTGTTTGCACAACTTGCACTGACAATTAAACAGCCAAAATGTGTCAAGTTCTTGACTGAACCGGAGGGTAGCATAAAGTTTAGATGGTCCTTAATTATGGAATAGGAGAGGGAAACAGGAAAAGGAAGGTGTCATCTTTTAGATGAGTTGTTAAACTGAGAACCTCTATGTTCTCTCAGGTGGATGTGAAATATTACAGCACACCGTTCAAAGAAGAGCTGGGAGCTCTCCAGAGTAATCTAGGCCAAAGTTTATTCCTCAGGCAACACTTAAATCAGATTGTCTGTCCATAATCACATTGCTTAGCTGTGGGAGCAAATTAGCTACTGTGTTTCCAACATCACAACAGTACAAGCAGCTTGGAAGGCACATGGTATGTTGGCCTTTATAACGAGAATTTGAGTACAGAAGCAGAGATGTCTTGCTTCTAATTGTATAGAACCATGGTGGTATGCACCTGGAGTAATGGGTGAAGTCACGGTCCCTTGCCTAAGGAAAGATACTTACTATAGAGGGAGAGCAGCAGAGATTTACCAGATTAATTCCTGGGATGTCCTATGAGGGTAGACTGGGGGGATTGGGCCTACATTATCTACAGTTGAAAAGAATGAGGTGAGATCTCATTAAAAATGCACAAATTTTTGAAAAGATTGGACAGGGGAGAAGCAGAATGGATGCTTCCCATAGGCTCTAGAACCAACAGTTACCATCTTCAAATAAGAAGCAAGGACTGAAACAGGTAAGAACCTCTTCACTCAGAGTTTACTGAATCTTTGGAGTTCTCTGCCCCAGAGGACTCAAACATTAGGTAAGTTCACGATTGAGATCAATAGATATTTAGTTAGCAGTGATGTCAAGGGACATGGGAAAAATGAAAAAAAATCGCATTCAGGTAGATGATGAGTTATGAACTAGAATGGGAGAGTAGACTCAAGGGGCAGAATGGCTTAATCCTCTAAGTATTCTTCAGAAGTACTTTATTGGCTGCAAAATAAAGGGATATCCTGAGGTTGTTCAAGGTACAATTTAAGTGCAATTTAGTTTAGGAGACGCAATGGCCCCAGTGGTATTATCGCTGGACTGTTAATTCAGAGACCCAGAAAATGTTCTGGGTTTGGTGGTGGAATTTGAATTCAATAAATGTCTGGAATTAAGAATCTAATGATGACCATGAATCCATTGTTGGGGAAAAACCCATCTGGTTCACTAATGTCCTTTGGGGAAGGAAACTGCTATCTTTACCTGGTCTGGATTACATGTGACTCCAGACCCACAGCAATGTGGTTGACTCTTAACTGCCCTCTGGGCAATTAGGGATGGGCAATAAATACTGCCCTAGCCAGCGACGCCCTCATCCCGTGAATGAGTAAAGGAAAAAAAAGTGCACATCATTGATTATGATTGATGTACACCTTAATTCCATTTACCTATCTTGATTTCAGATATCCTTACTCAACAGAAATCTATATAAGCCGACCAGAAAAATAATTGGGGATGTGCCAGTAGAGATCAATAACTCATTCTGAAGCCTGTTGTGAATTTAATGTTTTCCTATATATGTGTCCATATGTTTGTAGCTATTTTATCAGCTATACACGAAGTGATGTTGTTGCACCATAATATAAAAGGTCACTTCCTTCATTAGCTGGGGCATGATGTCTAATTTTAGTAACTGCAACAAGATGAAAATTGAGAGATCAGACTTGTTGATGCAAATGTTTCCCTTTTACGTCCCCAAGCTACAAAATCATATTAAGTTGAGATGTCACAGTGACTGAGTGCCTGATGACACCAGTTCCTCAGGCTGTAGAATGTAGAACAAAATCTCATCTTGCTTTTCACATTGCTACACACAAGGAATCAAGCTTAACAGCTCAATTCAGCAATAATGCAGTCCCTTTCCAGAGCACCTATGATGATGTGTGTGCACATCTCACAAAATGCCATGTAAATGAACTTGAAGCCGAGAGTTTAGATCTTACAATGTGGGTATTTTCACACCTGAATGGTTCAAAATGGGTTTAGCGCTGTGTGGTGAACAATGCGAGTGTGCTATTTGCTGTCAATTTTCACGGATCAGCTCAGAGTTGTATTTCTGCATAGCTACAAATGGCTGTGTGTATGGAGCACAGTAGGGAGGTAATTAGGACTCTTGGACATTATACATGGCTCCCTATCTTTTTTCCTTTTCATTGGATTCAGTAAAAAAAAGGACTTGGCAGATTGTAGAATGGGTGATGGATGTGATAACGCAACATTCTCACTCCTAGCCAAGAGTGGGATTTGTCTGCAAGGAGATATTTTGATTCCAGTTGGAAAATCCAGACGGTTGTACATTAAGACCAATGTGTCACTTTGTGCAAAGGATAGATATTGCTCATATGTTTCCCCTATTTCTGAAAAAGTAATAAACGCTGCTCACGCATTGCACACCAGTCAGGATCATTGATTGTGTGTTGTTTCTTTCCCAAGGTATGCCATGAGGTTAAAGAATTTCACGGGTTCTATGGCCACATTAGCTGATAAGAAACTGGCAGTTTTATGGTGAGTTTCAGTGAGTCAGCTATCAGGTGAATGAACTTCCAGTCAACTACTTTGTGATGTTATAAGTGTATCATTACTTCATCAAGAAAATAAATTACCTTCTCACACATTCGGAAATTATAGAAGATTCCGCAATGCTATTTTGTGACATTTATTCATTACCTTAATTCCTTACTTTGCTTAACCAGGCAAAATGTGCAATTTTAACTTTGTGTCAATCTATCTGTACTGTGTTCCTCAAGAATCCAACATGAGAAACATCATTTACATAAATTGTATTGCTTTACTGAGTGTTAACCTTAACACAATGTATCTCTAATTTGATCTAGTTACCGATGCTTGTCACTTCTCTATTTGCGAATGTTCAGACTTAAGAAGGACCATGCTATGAAGTATTCCCGATCCTTGATGGAATATTTTAAGGTATTTTAATGATTTTGGTGGGGGGTGGAGTATGTTTTTAAAATACGCTGTCATCATAGCAGTGTTTATTCAAGTGTTATACATTGCTGAGTCCAGCTGCCTTCCCCCAGTGGTAAACCCTGGTTTCTAAGCAACATTACTGGGCTAAGGCAACCAGATGGACAAGTTAGAATGCATTTCCTCAAATAGCTGATAGCGAAAATGAAGAGACATAATCTTACAATTATAGCTAATCTAGGTAAAAGAAGAAATTAAGAAACAGTTCTTCCCTTTAAAAACGGCTAGTTAGAATCCACAACTCTTTCTCGTAAATGACCATGGATGCTGGGGACACTTGGAACATTCAAGGCTGAGGTTATTAGATTTTGCTAGACAAGGCCTCTTCTGGAGTGGAGTACTGTGTCCAGTTCTGGTCACCCTGTTATAGGAAAGGTATTATTAAGCTGGAGGGGGTTTTGAAGGGATTTATCAGGAGGTTTCCAGGTGTGGAAGGTTTGAGTCATAAAGCAAGGCTGGGACTTTTCTCACTGGACCATAGGAAGTTGAAAGGGGACCTTATGAAGGTTTATGAAATTATGAGGGGTATAGATAGGGTTAATGAAAGATGTCTTTTCCCCAGCATGGAGGATTTCAAGACTAGGGGGCATATTTTTAAGGTGTGAGGAAAGAGATTTATAAAAGACATGGGTAAATTTTTTACACTGAGGGTGGTTTGCGTGTGGAATGAACTTCCTGAGGAAGTAGTGGATATGGGTACAATTACAACATTTAAAAGACACTTAGATAAGTACATGAATAGGAAAGGTTTGGAGGGATATGGGCCAAGAGCAGGCAGGTGGGACTCGTTTATTTTAGGATTATGTTCAGCATGGACTGTTTGGACCAACGGGTCTGTTTCTGCATTATTTGTCTCTATGACTCTATGACCTGTAAGGGTACCTTGGGAAAAGGAGCGACAGTGGGGTAAATGGCTCAGAGGTAGACAACAACCGTGGGCTTGTTGAATGGAGTAACAGACTCAATGGGCTGAATGGCCTCTAGTTCCTATGCTTTAAATGCCAGAAACCAGTTCATTGGTATTATTCTCACTAAAGTAGCTTCAGCATGATCTTAAACTGCTGGGAATATTTCCATAAAGAACAGGACATCAGGAGAACCTTAAAAGTTTTTAAAGTGACAAATATCTTGATAGCTCTGATAGTGAAAAGCTATCCCCTCGAGTTGGTGGGAGTCACTGTCATCAATTTTAAGGTGATCAGTAAGAAAGTGAGGAGGGACTTAGGAGAAGCTTGTTTACATGTTGACTTGGAACAACAACAGCGAGTGCTAGAGAAACTCAGCAGCTCTGGCAGCATCTGTGGAGAAAAAATAGAGTCAGTGTTTCAAGTCCGTTCCTTCTGGGCCCTACTTAATGTATCGTAACCAGTACCAAGTTCCATTTACCCATTGCCCACTGTGCTCACTAACCTACAATGGCTCCCATTCGGGCAATACCTTGATTTCATATTTCCCATCCTGGTTTTCAAACACCTGTACAGCCTAGCACCTTGCTAGCTCTGTAAACCAGGGCTTCCGAAAGTGGGGAGAGGGACCCCAAGTGCAGTTGCAAGCAGAAACTTTGGGGTTGCAAGCTCTGAGATGGCAATTGCCACAATAGATTCTGGCCAAGTTATAACTTTGCACCTTCTCTCGAACACGCTCCCAGTTCCTCCACTCTCACTAATGGGTCACAACAACTTTTAAATCTTAAAATGGGGTCAAAGTTGGAAAATTTGGCAAGGACTGCTGTAACCTCCCCAGCCCAACAAGCCTTCAATATCACTGAACTTCTTGAATTTTGGCCTCTTGATTTTAATCAGTCAATTAGTGATGGCTATTTTTATCAGCTGCCCTGGGCTAAAGCTCTGAAATTCTCTCCCTGAACCTCTTCACCTCTCCTCCACTCTCTATCTTTGTGTAAGATGCTTCTTAAAATCTGTGACTTTCACCAAACTCTGGTCATCTATCCTAACATGTGTCAAATGTTGACTAACAGAGCCCTCATGAAGCACCTTGGGATATTTTACTGTCAGGGTGCTGTAGAAATGCAAATTGTTGGTGAATGTGCTTTAAACATCCATAGCTTTGCTATACTTTAGCATCTCCTTGATCCCAGCAGCAACTTCCAGTCTCCATTTATTCTAAAGAGTATCAAACTACATTTGTTAAATGGATTAAATGTTCTTATTGATTTTATTTTTAATGGTCAGCACTTGAAATTCAATCTGACACCCAGTTCTCCAAATATCTTTGTCAACATTTATTCATCATCTGCACATTATGTCTGGAGTGAATTGCAAAATGAATATTTGAGTAGTCAGCGCTTGCTGGTTGTCTGTTCTGAACTGCCATTTGATTGATATTCTGATCCAAGCAGTATGTTTCCTAGTGGACTTCTGGTCCCTTTGGATACATCAACCCGCGCTTGATTACTTTGACGTCAATTCCAGGTAGAATTTTCTGGAATATCTCTGCAGTAAGCTTTTCACCAGGATGAGACAGCACAAAAGTCAGCCATATTTGTTGTCCATCCTGTGTAAGTGTTCCTTCATGAAGCAATCCTATTAGAAATGAGCAGTTGCTGGGCCACTTCAAAGGTCACTAAAGGTCAATGGTATGGTTGCGTTGGGGTTATTAGTCAAGCTGTTGGCTTTTGGAAAGAAAACAGAAAGTGCTGGAGAAATCAGCAGGCCTGGCAGCATCTGTGAAGAAAGAATCAAGGGTTAATGCTTCAAGTCCAGTATGTCTCTTCTTCAGAATTAACATTTGAAACAATAACTCTGCCTCTCTCTCTTCACAGATGCTGTTAGACAAGCTGAATTTCTCCAACAATTGCTGTTCTCATTTCAGATCTCTATCATTTGCAGTATTTTGCTTTTGTTTTGAGTGTTGGCTTTTGAAACCTTCCAGAATGGTTGAGGCTAATCCACAAACCATCAGATTTATAGCTTTCCAGAGCAAAATTTGAACTTGTTGCCTTTAATTCATTGTTTATACTCAGTATTACCGTATCCTATATTCCCTTTGTAACATACCTTGGGATTCTTCTTTGCATCAATGATGCTGTTTGATTCAAGCAGTGGAAAAGTTGGTTGTACTATTAATATTATGGCATCCATTGTTAATACAGCCAAGAAGTTGTCTCTTGTGATGATTATGGATATATTTCAATATGTTGTTGCTCTTTCACCTAATTTTAACTAATGTAGCAACAAAGCCCTTCACAATGTATGTTGCAGCATGACACTTCCCCATGCGAAGAAATGATCTTAAACTGGATATGTTTTACTGCTCATTGGAAAACCAGTAGAGGTCTCTTGTATTCTCATGCATGACTTTTTCTGTTACAGAGTTCCTCAAAAGCCTCACAAGCTCCTTCGCCTTGGGGAACAAATGGAAAGTAAGTTCCCCCTTCATAATTCTCAGGGACCAAATTGCTGGAATGAGGTGTCTGTCAGTACCAACAATTACTACTGTGGCAGCACAGTTGTCCACAAGTTGCAGAGTTCAAGGTTCAAGTCCAACGCCAGAGCCTAATGACAAAAACAAGTTGACACAGGTTTTCCAGTTGCTGCATTGTCATCTTTCTAATGAGATGTTAAACTGAGGCAAAATTAGCTATCTTCCGTGGATGTAAAAGATCCTAGGCTTTTCTTTTAAGAAGGGGAGGTAATCCTGGTATCCTGGCCAATATGAATCGTTCAATCAACAAGTCAAAAAATAGATTAGCTGGTCATGATCACTCTCATGCCTCTACTTGTCACAGACTCATACACTTTTGCTAACCTTTTCCTTTTATGAATACCTGCAGAAGCTTTTACACCTCACGTTTTATGTTTCTTTCTACTTTTTATTCATATTCTATTCTCTCTCTCTTTATCAATTCAGTTCCCCTTTGCTGACTCTCTCCCAATCCTCAGGCTTACAATATTTTTTGACAATTTTATAATCCTCCACCTTTGATCTAATGCAATCTTTAATTTTCCTTGTTAACCATTGCTGTTTTGCTTTTCCTGTTTCCTACTTTGACTTATAGTAATATATGATTTTATTTTGAAAACCAAGCAGTATTTCTAAACATGTGACCAATGCCTACCTATCAAACTTTTTAATGTATTTTCCAATTCACCACAGACAGCTGTTCTTACCTCTGTAATTACTCTTGCTAAGACTTAAGGGCTGTACTTTCAGATTGGATTGCATCATTTTCAAACTTAATGGAAAATTCCATTATTCCCTAAAAGTCATTTTATTGCAAGACTTTTAATGAACCTTTTCTCATTGCATAATAATAGATCTAAAATAGCCTGTTTTCTAGTTGGCTCCCTAACTTATTACTCCAGAAAACTTTCTCAAACACATTCTAGGAATTCATGCTCCACAGCATTGATGCTCGTTATACTTGTCCACCCTATATGCAGATTGAAGTCAGCCATGATTACTTCATTTCCCCTTGCTACATACATTCTAATGTCCTTATTTATACTGTGCCCTACATTACTATTTGGTAGCCTAAAAACCACAGCTACCAGTGTTTGATGCCCATTGCTGTTTCTTAGCTCCACCCAGATTCCTATTCTTTCACTAATATATCAATACCTTTCCTTATTATCAGCACTAGCCACCTCCTTTCCCTCTTAGTCCCTTGTTCCTAAATGTCAAATACCCTTTAATGTTTGGTTCCCACTCTTGGTTGCCATGCCGCCACATCTCTATAATGACAATTAAATCATACTCTTTAAATTTGACTAGCACCATGAATTTACCTATTTTGTTGGTGAATGCTGCGTGCATTCAAATAGAGTGTTTTTTTTATCATGCTGTTTTAATACTATTCTGTATTTTGACCCTGGTTGATTTCAGGACTTGTTTCTGCTGCTTTACTATTTCATTTACAGCTTTTCTATTTCCCATAGGCAATTTGTTTTCATTCTAAAGTTCCGCCCTAAGAGTGCTAGCAAATCTTCCTCAGGAAGATGTTACTCCTGGATATTGGGTCAAGGGCAGGAGAGTTTTTTTTTTGGCAAAAATAACAGTGGAGTGACACAAATTAAATTGCAACTTGTGGTAATTAACAATTCAGGGGGTTTCTCTCACTCGACACAAGTTGCTGGATGATTTGCATATTAATAACAGTCTGCATCATTCATGTGCCAAGTATATAGGAGATCCCAACCGTATGAGATTACCAAGCTTCCTCAGCTACCTTCATTGTGTACATTGAGAGTGCTTGTCTTTGCTTCAGGAGTGATCAGGGTATAACCAGGCCAGCTTTCTCGTGTTCCAGCCACTTTCAGTCACACTTGTCTTTATATTTAACACGCGATCCTTTCATTTCTTTCTCCTGTCCAGGGACTTGATATAACCTTGCAATACACTGGCTGCCTTCGATAAAGGAGAATTGTCAACAGTTAATGTGATTTACTCGCCTCCTGAGCTGCCATCTTTCAATTTAATATCGACCTTTAGTCTCAGAGTCACAATGTTTAGATTTGCTGAAGGACTGATGCATATTTTATTGATAGATGTTAAGATCTAGTTTAAAAGCAATCCAAGTCACGGTTGATCAGCAAATAGTTGATCACTTTTACAATGCCTGGTGATTGTGATTATGACTGAGAATTTAGCTGGATTTAATCTGGCCTAAATGTTTTTCAATACAACATTTATTCAGGGCTCTTGTCAGAACCAATAAGGAAGGATTGAGTGTAATTATTATGAATGAAATAACAGAGCTCTGATTGATTCATAAAATAGGATCATGCATCAGAGTGTTAATCAAGCTCCTCTGAGCGTTTGCAAGCTGTTTAAAGTATTGATCACAAAAGCAGCCCACTAACATAGTGAACAAAGGGACTGCCTACAGGTTCAGCAGCATCTGTTTCCTCCAATATGACTGTTTGTTTCCTAATTATATTAAGATTTTAAGGAGATAAACAGGCTAGATTTGAGTCAGTCAATTGGCTTTTTCTCGACGGAGTCCCTCTCTAGCTGTCTGCTGTATCCCAGTTTTGACCTTCTGGTCACTTCATCAACACCTGCTAGCATGTAGCACCACTAGCTGTGCCAATGTTCAAAACTGCATGGCCAAGCACAATTTTATTTTGCCCAAGTTGTCAACAACATCTTTTATCTTTTTGAAGGCACATTACAGAACAGGAGTCTTGCATTAATATTGCGACTTTCTCAAGCACAGGGCATCCCCAAGCACTTTGAAATCAATGAAGCATTTTTCAAAAGTGTGATCATTGTTGTAATATGGGAAATGTGATAGCAAATGTACACAGCGTGATGCCATAACCACCCACGTGGTAGTGTTCAGAGAGGGCGGGTCAGCTTTACTTGTTAACGACCAGATCATGTGTTTCAGTGATGTTGTTTGGGGAATGAATATTGGCCAGTACAGGTAGTTCTCCTATAACGTGATAGTTGCCTTCTTGTGTGACCTCGCGCTGTAGAAAATTGCCATAGAAAATTGTGATGTAGGGAAATTGCTATAGAAAATTGCTATACATGTACAGCAGAAGAAAGTTTGCGTTTTTGAAACAGCATCTATGATTTGTCAATTTTATTACAGCCAATTCACATAACTAAACATGCATTCTAGTAGAACTACCTGTATACTAGAGGTATCCTGTTTGCTGTTCCTCAAAATAATGTCATGAGACACACATGAGGGTGGCACGGCGGCTCAGTGGTTAGCACTACTGCCTCATGGCACCAGGGACCCGGGTTCGATTCCACCCTCGGGCGGCTGCCTGTGTGGAGTTTGAGCATTCTCTCTGTATTTGCATGGGTTTTCTCCAGGTGCTCTGATTTCATTCCACAATCCAAAGATGTGCAGTTGTGCATGGCTGACAAGGGAAGTCCAGGAGCAGCATAAAAGCAAAAGAGAAAGCTTATAATGTGGCGAAGGGCAGTGGGAAGCTGGGGGATTATGAAGCCTACAAAGACCAACAGAGGACAACTAAAGAAGAAATAAGGAGGGTAAGCTAGCAAGTAACACGAAAGAAGATTGCGAGAGTTTCTTCAGATCGATAAAGGGAAAAAGTGATGCAAAAGTAGACATTGGCCTCACTGGAAAATGTCGCTGGAGAAGAAGTAGAGTAATGGGGAACAAAGAATTAGTGGAGGAACTGAACAAGTACTTTGTGTTAGTCTTCATGGATGAAGACATGAGTAACGTCCCAAAAATTCAAGAGAGTCAAGGGTCAGAGGTGAGTATGGTGGCCATCACCAAGGACAAAGTGCTAGAAAGACTGAAAGGTCTGAAGGTGGATAAATCACATGGACCGGATGGACGACACCCTAGAGTTCTGAAGGAGATAAAAGAGATAGAGGAGGCTTTAATGGTGATCTTTCAGGAATCACTGGAGTCAGGGAAGGTCCGAGAGGACTAGAAAATCACTTGTGTAATACTCCTGTTTAAAAAGGGAGTAAGGCAAAAGACGAGAAATTACAGAACGATTAGCCTGGCCTCGGACGTGGGTAAGATTTTGGAGTCCATTGTGAATGATGAGATTTCTGATTACTTGGAAGTGCATGGTTTCATCAAGGGAGGTCATGCCTGAAAAATCTGTTATAATTCTTTGAGGAGGTAACAAGCAGGAGAGCCAATGGATGTGATCTACTTGGACCTCCAGAAGACGTTTGACAAGGTGCCACACAGGAGGCTGCTGAGTAAGATAAGGGCTCATGGTGTTAGAGGCAAGGTGCTAGCATGTATAGAAGATTGGCTGCCTGGCAGAAAGCAGAGAGTAGGGATAAAAGGGTCCTTCTCAGGATGGCGAGGTTGTTTAGCCATGGGGAATGTAGAGTTGCAAGGATGGGGTAGGAGAGTGGGTCTGGTTGGGATGCTGTTCAGAGAGTCAGTTTGAACTTGACAGGCCAAATGTCCTGCTTCCACACTGTAGGGATTCTGTGATTCCTCAAAATAATGTCATGTACAGAAGTAAGCCTCTGTTTAACATCTCATTTGAAAGGTAATGTCTTATAAGAGTGTTGCACTTTCTCTGTTGCACTGGGAGAGCCCCCCATATTATTGAAGGGGTTTAAACCAGGTGATTTTACCTCATTGAGTTGGATTGCTAAGGCTGGTTCCAACCACTCTGAGCTGAGATCAGCTGTGTCAGCAGAGACCAGGGGTCAAATCTGAGAGCACAAGAATTGGAAATTTTGTGTATTCATTCAGAGGATGTGTGTTTTCCTGGTTGGGCCAGCATTTATTGTCCATTACTAATCAGCTTGAGAAGGTGGTGGTGAGCTGCTTTCTTGAACCACTGCAGACCATGTGCTGTAGGTAGACCCACATGTCGTGAGGGAGAGAATTCCAGGATTTTGACTCAATGACAGTGAAGGAATGGTGACATATTTCCAAGTCAGGATGGTGAGTGGCTTGGAGGGGAACTTACAGGATGGTGGTGTTTCATGTATCTGCTGCCTTTGTCCTTCTAGATGGTAGCAATCATAGCTGTGTAAGGATACCCATGAAGTGATATAAAGGACAGAAAACCTGTGAATTGTTGCCTGGGTTAACTTGATTCTGTGATTATGCTTTACAATGCCCATCCCTTACTACCAATACTCTCACCCCTACCTAGCTACCTCCCAAGTTATATGTTTAGGGGCTTGGCTGTACTTTGAGACTTGAGCAGATAAATTAGTCCGGCATTTCAGCACATCTCCCAGTAATTTTCTTATGCAACAGGGTAAATCATGGAGTCACCCTGCTGACCTATAGAAGTCTACAGTTCTGAGTAAAAAGCCCATGCAAAAATATTATCAGATGTTTATTGAAACTAATGTCAACCATTGAGTTGGAGACAGGACGTGGCTTATGGTAGGACGTGGCTTATGGTAGACCACGCACCAAAAAATTGCTTTAGCTCAGCAAACATACAGTTTCAAGACAGCAAACAGTCTACAGAGTCAACTTAAAACACAGTCATTACCAACGGCAGCAAAAAGATATCATAACCAAAACTGCAATAATTTATCATGATAAAAGCAGGGCTGTTTCCTTCAGAAAAATGATGTGGGTGGGGGCTGTTTACTTCAAGACCAATTATATGCCTAAAATAAAACCCTGTCACTCACATAGACTGTTAATCCAGAGACCCAGGTAACGTTTTTGGGATCGGGGTTCGAATCCAATAGTGGAATTTGAATTTATTGAGAAAAAACCTGGAATTAAGAATCTGTTGATGACCATGAAGCCGTTATCAGAAAAATCCATCTGGTTCTCTCAAGCCTTTTGAGGAAGCCTGGTCTGGCCTACGTGTGACTCCAGACCCACAGCAGTGTGGCTGCCTCTTAACAGCCCTCTGAGAAATTAGGGATGAACAATAAATGTTGACCTAGCCAGTGACGCCCACATTCCATGAATGAATAAATAATCAAAGACAAAAATCAAAAATAGACTCTCACGAACCTGCAATATCTTCCACCATGAGGGGCAGGGCCAGCAGATGCACAGATGCACCTCGAGTAGCAGGTTTCTCTGCAAGGCAAACATTAACTCAGAACTGTATAATCTTTCCTTCACTTTCAGTGGGTCAATACTCTGGAAATCCCTTGTAACAGAGCTGTGGTGTGTGTACCCTGAGCAGATGGGTATTAGTAACTCACTCTTAACTTTCTGAAAGACTATTAGGGAACAGAAACAAACCTCGAAACGAAAATAAAAATTGTTTGGTAAGCTGAGATGATGACTTTGCTTCTGCTTGTCTTCCTGCAGAACCACAGGAACAGCCTCCCCTTTATCTCCCAGCCCGTCTCCCGTCAGTTCAGTCGGGTCTCATGGGAGCAGCACAAGCACCACTGGCTCATCTCCCTCAGCGACCATCAGCATTCCACAGCGGATCCACCACATGGCTGCCAGTCACGTCAACATTACCAACAACATCCTCAGGAGTTACGAACACTGGGACACGGCCGACAAGCTGGGCAGAGAGAACAAAGGTCAGAACTATTTCATGAGCTGATGTGATGCATGTGTTCCTTGTTGTAATATGCTGTGTTAAGACTTGGGTGTATGCCTCAGTAAGTGTAAGTATATCGGTGCAGATTCATCAGAATGATAAGGAGAGTCCAGTTATGAAGGTTAGTTGCATAAGCATGTTTTGAAGAATAGAGGGGTGAGCTGATCGAACCATTTAAAATAAAAACCAAAAGAACTGCGGATGCTGTAAATCAGGAACAAAAACAAAGTTGCTGGAAAAGCTCAGCAGGTCTGGCAGCATCTGTGAAGGAGGAAACAGAGTTAACGTTTCGGGTCCGGTGACCCTTCCTCAGAACTGTGCCATTTAAAATGTTAACTAAGAACCGAAATTGCTGGAGAAACTCAGCAGGTCTGACAGCATCTGTGGAGAGAGAAACCCAGTTAACATTTTGAGGGCAGTGACCCTTCCTCTGAAGTAGGGTCACTGGACTCAACATTAAATCTGTTTTTCTCTCTCCACAGATGCTGCCAGACCTGCTGAGTTTCTCCAGCAATTTCGTTTTTCATTTTAGATTTCCAACATACGCAGTTTTTTTGTCTTATTTTAGCGTTTATTATGTGAATGGATTTGCAAGGACAATGACAGAGGATTTACTTCCTCTGGTGGGAGAACCAAGGACAGGGAGACATTCAGAGCAAAATCAAATCCAATTTAGCAACAAAGACCTTTAGATGACGTCAAGTTATAGAGGGTAGAGTACCAGAGGCTGGGCTTTTGGAGCTATCAAGAGGTAACAAAGGCATGAATAAAGTTCTCAGCAACAGAGGAGCTGAGGCAGTGATGGTGCTTTTTGGAGGTGGGGAGTCTTTAATGATGATGCAACTATGTCATCAGAAGCTTGACTAAGGGCCAAAGATAACACAAAGATAACTATCTTCCTCATCCAGATTTAACATTGATGTAAAGGTTGTCTTTACATCATTTTAGTTTAATAAGTAAAGATTTGAAAAAAAAAAGCAAAATGTACATTCTCATTTTCTAAACAGAAAATGTTTTTGCTTTAAAATATATTACTTGTAATACTATGCTTACCCACAGTCGTAATCCTCTCACAATTTCTTCGGAACTGATTAGATGCCAGAAGTATAATTTCCCTTTTCAGTTTTGCTTCCAACAGGTCAAATAAATACTGTTTCTGTGAATCATGACATTCCCAGCTCAGCAAGTGAAATGGGATATTAAATCTCATTAAAGAAAAATGAATTCCAACTAAATTATGCTGGATCATGTAAAGCACTTGAACGGTTGTTTGTGATATTTAATTAAAAGTTTAAAGTTAAGAGGTTTTCTATCAAGGCATATTATAGATGAGTGATGTTGTTTGCACAGTAGTTAAGGCTGAATGATACCTAGTTCTGCTCTGAGAATTAACAAGGGATAATATCGATCAAATGTATTTCATTAGATGCAGATAATTGCAAATCAGTTGGAAAGTGCAATATCAAAGATAATCTCAAAGTGTAAACATGATGTGTCTTAGGGAAGGGATTTAAAATAAAGCAGCTTACAAGCTAATGAATGTAAGATGTAAGAATCGTAAAATAATATTACAACACTGGAATGTAACAGCATCATCGATGAGATCTCAGGGCATTGTGAATTGCACTTTGCTCTAAATATGCAGTACAGTGACACTTCATGTTTCATGTTTTCCTTCACTGCAGAGTTTTTTCATGAGCTGGACACACTGATGGGACCACTGACACAGCACAGCAACATGACTACCTTGGTTCGGTACACTCGACAGGGACTGCATTGGCTGAGGGTCGAAGCTCATTTATTATAGTGACTGTGCTGTGCATTCCTTTTCTGCATTTCTGTCTCTACCTCTGCCAGGACCATGACTGGTGGAACCCCTTGCTGCTCTGCAGCTCCGAATTGAGTCACTGACATCGGGGCCTCCTCCAGCCGTCCTTCAGACTCATGGCTATGTTATGGAGCTGGTTGATGCTCCTCCCACCAGAGGGACCTGTACGTAGTACTTCAAAAGAAAACAAAAACGCTGACATCACACGTTTCTGTGAAACTTCGCTGACTTCTTCGGAACGACAGATTCCTGAGGCATTTCGCCACCTTCCGCACTGCCTGGAAGTCGTGTCTAATCAGGACTGTGTTTGAGATGGAGACAAAAGCGTGCCTGAGAGAGAAAAAGACAAAGTGAAATGCCTGAGATGAAAGCAAGTATGTTGAGTCCCTGCTGGATAACTGCGAGAAGAATTGCTCCCGAAGAATTCATTTGTTGCATTCTCTTGCACTTTGGATCATCCAGCCCATGTGAAGAACATGCTGCCTCATGACAGACTGCTGAAGGGGTCAGACTGAGGCGTAAGGTCAAAACTGAGAGCCTGACACATGATGGAGTCATTTGACTCTGTATTTTATACCCTCTTTTTGAAGCTGAAAGTAAACCTACACAGATAGAAATGGAAAATTGTGCATTAAATTGAAGTGCTCTGTCCGTATTTTCCGTGGAGTGAAAACTCATCATCTTACATGTTGTATGGTATGCCTTAGAGATTTGTGATCACAAGCACTTTTTTTTTTGAGAATATTTATTACGATGTAAGTCCTGACACCGAGTTGGAGTGTGAAGAAAGAATTCCATGCTCGTAGCCTCTGCATTTATTAGGGAAGACTCAAATCCTGAGACTGTCTTATCCTTAAAAGCGGTGTTCAATCTTTTGAATTTACATGACAAGACCATCGGATATATCCAACCCTCTTATCTTTTCCATTCCAGGAAGATCTTTCTTTTTTTCATAGTCTTGCAGTCTTTCCTTGACGGTCAAATGCAACATGTGCACCCACAACTATATCCAGAAGAAGAAAACAGTCCCCGTACAAAATTGATGGCGAACAATTTGTGAATTGATGGTCCAAGGACAGAAACAATGAAGGATGTTCAACAATCGAAAGCTTTCACCCAAGACGGATGAAAGTGTAAAAAGACAGGACTTTGGAATTGCATTGTGGACAGTTAACTCCCAAGCGCTTTCTAAAAGCACTCATCTGATCTTCCTCAATGCTTATTGTTAGTGGGAGCGAGCTGTTAACTTGTTTGAAAGACATGGGTTCACATCTCATCTTAAATAGTGGAGAGAGAGAGTACAGAAGGAGGCATCAAGTGCTGGCATGCAGAGATCAGGGTTTTCTCCCAGAATGCTACAGGCTGCTCAAACCTGATACAGATCCCTGATGCCAAGTTCCATCAAAATGAAGCATAAAGTATCTGAGAGAGAAGGCTTAAGGAACCCTCTTCACTTAGTGGGAATCTCTTCTAAGGTTTTTTATGGAGCCAGCTGGAGGTAATTTTTAGTGGGAACATAACATGCAATATCGATTTGTTTAACTATGAGTCCTTAGAGTTGTGCTTAAAGCATTCCTGAGCCTGTGTCTGGTAAAAGTTGCAATTATCACTAATGTAATGTCCATTACGTCAATATTGGTTGAGCTTCAGAAGTGAAACACGATGCAAAAAGATTTTAAAAGGAAATCTCATGCTAGATGCTTTGATATTACATATATCTTACAAACGCAGACATCAGTAAGGTTTGGTTACAAAGGCTGTCTGTGCCTTATTACCTTTGGAAAGCACAGCCAAGTTGAGTAAGACATTGTTCCTTGTTTCTGTTTATGTTTCTGTTTCATAACCTATGGAACCTGCAGTCACATCCATGGGCAAGACTCAAAATAATGGGTGTTTGCTCAGTCTCCGGACATGATTGCCGTTTTCAAAAGACCCTGGGCAGAATTTTCTGCTGTTGCTGGTGGCAAGCTTGGAAGTGGGAAGGGTTTTTAATAAATCAGGGTGGTGCCATACTGAAACCCACTACTATCCCCATGGCCAGTCTGCCATCCACTGAGGCCTTTGGATTGCAAATTAGAGGCTGCTTTTAAGCTCCATCCTACTGCTGCCTGTATTAACCCAGTGGCAGGCAGGCTGAACGTCAAACAACCAGATTGTTGTCTCCCATGAGGAGGGGTCAGTCCTGTGATTAAAGAATCTTGCTGTCTGATCAAGGGCCAGGAAATCAAGAAGTGGAAGGGGGGTGGCTGGGTTGTGGTATCACCCCTGCACCGTGCTATCAACTGACCCCCCAGTAGGCATCACCTCATTATGTTCCCAAGGCCTGGGTCACTCCGTAGCATTGGGACCCTCAGTCTGAGTTCCCATGGCAACAGCCATGGCTTCCTGTCCTGCTTGGCCAAGCACAAGAGCTTCTAGTCTCTGATTCGGTTCCCAGGATCTCAAAGTTAGGGAGAGGCCTCCCAGTAGACTTACCACAGCCCAATTGGCTTGTGGATCAGCGAGCCTCCCTGAATATGGGCAACAAGGGTCTCTGTCCAGCCAGGGAGACCCACAACATTTCCAAGATCCCACTTATCCCACAAGAGCACGTTTTCTAACCTGCAGGAAACCTCATTGCCATTCCTACCCATCAAGCAATCATTTATTTCTGCATTGTGGGCCTTCTCGGACACAAAAAAAAGACAAATCTAATTTATTTTTATACCATTTGGTGGTACAGAACTTGAGTATCATTGATAAAAAGACCCATTTCGTCCAAGCTATTCATCTTGCTCTTGTCAGGGCAATTCACAAGAATAGCAATTTTAGGGTAAAACCAACATTTTGGAGAGGGCAGTGCTAATTGGTTGGCAAGCAGATTCTGATTGGTAAAGGCATTGCCATGGAGAATGCACAGGTAAAATGATGACTGACAGTTAACTGCCGGACTTTGCTTAAATTTTAAACCATGCAGGTTTACTCTGATTTGTCAAGGCATTGCCCTGATACATTAACCAATGAGTGACTATCACCTATTTTGTAAAGTTGAAAGAGGTGGAATGCGTGTGCCTATTCTTTCTGTCTGTGAAGAACACGGCCATGTGTAAGAATATGTATCGCTTCTAGTACTCACAAGTACTGTGAACTTGGCTGGCAATCCTATTGTCAGCATAATTCATTGCACACTTGAGATTATCCAACAAATGTTGTCCAATTGTAAAATTCTATCTAATGTTAGGTAATATGTTGTACATTTTGCCAGAGCAACTGGTTGGATGCGGTCAATACCTTGCTTGCTGCATATCAATAAGCTGATTGTATCCTCCACAACACCACTTCTACCAATCCGGGTCCACTTGCTGACCAATCACCACTCTCCTCTGAGCAATATTTCTTGTGAATTGTCTTGATGAGTGCAAACAAAAACCTTTGACAAAATGTGCCTTTCTTCAGCAGACCTTATTTTCATATCTGCGAATGCAGTGAGAGGAAATAAAACTTCTGAATGTCGTATGGTGACCAAGGTCAGCTCCTTCCTTCCAATGCCGAGGGACTGCACCAGTTGAAGCTATTGTCTAAAGCTTAATGACAGAGATATAAAGATCCAGTTCACATGTTGTGAATATATGTTTAATAGGGAAAGATTTGCAGGGAACAGGGAACAGACTGTGACAAATTTCATAGCTCTTTCAAAGAACTGGCATGGAACTGATGGGCAGAATGGCCTCCGATGTATCCAGTCACCCTAAAAATAAATTGTTCAACAGATAGTCTCAAAACTTTCTTTTCTGGCATTTAATTGGACCTATGAAGATTTATGCTGTATTCTATTTTAATTGGGCAGAACTAGATAGGTCTTGACAGGGGAACATAAACTGAGGGCCTGAATTTCTTTATCATGTTAAGTAGGGGCCTAATAATAGCTGTAGCTGCTCTGTTAATGTTGCTAAGGTATAAGAAGAAGGATGAAAGCGGACCATCAGTTTACCATCTTTTAGACAGTGCATCCCTATCTCACATCCTCCCTAGCTACTGCAGTAACCCTTTCTCACCTAACACCTTTCAGGGACACCTCTTGGGAATTTCTTCTGATCAATTAAGTAAACTTTATGGAAACTATGATTATAATCACTGCCTGCATTTTAGCCATTCACTAGAAAACAGGAAGGCCTTGCTACAAATGTTCTAGCTCTGATGGAGATCTATCCAGAGGATATTTGAACTGCAGCACATGGAAGACTAGTCATTGCAAAGGAATGTCACCATTTTAAAAGCTCTACTAGCTTCCACTTTGGTTCTTTTTAAGGCTCATCACCAAATCCAATTTTAATGTACTTAAAAGTTACATTTAAATGCATTGAAGCAAATACAATGAAAGAGCTTGATGCAATGAAGACAACATTGGAATACCATGGAGGAGCTATTACAACTAGTCCATGCTAATATAATGGAACTCTGAAGTGACTCGCGCATGCCTATCTGATAATGTCTTAACATGGGGAATAATGTGAGAATGTGCAGAGGTAAATGACTTCATTACCAGACCTGGGAATCTTATGAGTCAAATTCCAATGCTTTCTTGATGTCACTCACTCAACTCATTGTCATTGATAGAACTAGTTGCCACAAATATTGCTAAGTGCCCCTTTGTTCTGCATGTTATTGCATCCATTCCCCGTAGCCACCTCCTATTTCTCATCTTGATGTTACATGCATGCAACATGAATGTCTTTGGCTCAGGGGAGGCATGGCCTAGTTGTATTATCACTAAACCATTAATCCAGAATCTTAGCTAATGTCTGGGGGACCTGGGGTTCAAATCACGTCCATGGCAGATGGTGGGATTTAAATTCAATAAAGAATCTGGAATTAACAGCCTAATGATGACCATAAAACCATTGCCGATTATCGGGAAAAACCCATCTGGTAAATGTCCTTTAGGGAAGGAAACTGCCATCCTTACCTGGTCTGGCCTACATGTACTACCAGACCCTCAGCAATGTGGTTGACTCTTGATTCCCCTCTGGGCAATTAGGGATGGGCAATAAATGCTGGCCTAGCCAGAGCCACCCACATTCTGTGAGTGAATAAAAATAAATGGAATTACCAGTACAGAAAGAGACCATTTGACTCAATGAGTCCATGCCAGTGCGAATGCTAAACTCATACCTCTTCCTTTCATCAAACTTTATCAGCATTATCTTCTATTCTGTCCTCCCTTCTATTTATGTATCTACACATTAAATGCAATTCATCTCTGTTACTCCTTGCAGTAATTGAGCTCCACATTCCCACTACTCTCTGGATTAAGATGTTTCATGAGTGTTATCTATAAACATGGGTCAGTTTCCACACATATACCCATGACACTTAGCTCGCCCCACCTTGGCTTTACAACCTTTGCTGTGGAGTTTGGCAGCCTGCCTGGTATCCAGGTGAAAACGAAACAACCATCTGCAGCTCCAGTAAGGTTTTCATCATTCCCTTTAAAGGTCACACCAACCATCATTTGAACCTGGTCCAAAATGCTGAATGCCCTCGAGATGTTTAGCTACGTTCTTGGTACTGTATACATGAAAGTTGTTTTACAACATTGAAAGCTCAAACTTAAATCACTTTTGCTGCAAACAGTCCTACAAAAAACGCACGTACAAAATATGTTCAGGTTTCATTTACACTTATATCAGGAATGCAGATTTAAAATTGGATAAGAATTTCTGTGCACACAATGGTGACACAAATTGCAGCCTCAAAGTTTGTCGATGTCAAAGCATTCAGAGAACTAATTATAATATTTTCATCATTGTAAATTGCATTTAAGGAATTATTCACACCAGGATTATCAGATTAAAACAACTTTGATTGATTTATCACCTTCACATTCAAGAGAGCATTGGATGATTATTTGGATAGAAATGGTGTGCAACGTAATGGGGAAAAAAGGCAGGAGATTGGCACTAGGTTTTAGAATGGTGCAACATGATGAGCTGAATAGCCTGCTCCTGCACCATAACAGACCCTGAAGTCAGAGGGTGGCACGGTGGCTCAGTGGTTAGTACTGATGCCTCACAGCACCAAGTACCCAAGTTCAATTCCACCCTTGGGCAACTACCTGTGTGGAGTTTGCACATTCTCCCCGTGTCTGCATGGGATTCCTCCGGGTGCTCCGGTTTCCTCCCACAGTCCAAAGATGTGCAGGTGGATTGGCCGTGCTAATTTCTGCTTTCTCAATGGAGATCAGTGAATGCCAGTGAATGGGACTTTCCATCAGGACCTTTCACTGGTTTTCAGGTGAGGAAAGAACGAAAGGCTGAATTTCACTTTAAGTGCTCGGATTTCTCAGAAACTGTTCCAAATTAAAAACAAATAGGATTATTTCAAAATAAAAGCAGAAATTGGCTGTGGTGTCCAGGGATATGCAGGCTAGGTGGGTTAGCCATGGGAAATACAGGCTTACAGGGCTTGGGCTGGTGGCTCTGGGTCTGGCTGAGTTGCTCTTCGGAGACCAATGGGCCGAATGACCTGCTTCCACACTGTCGGGATTCTATGATAGAAAGACACTTCACGGGAGTAAAATCTGTGGAAAATGGACACTGAAACAAAGAAGGAGACATTATGATAGATGAACAAAGCAAGTCTTATCCAGGATGTCTCGAAGGGAAAGGCAGTTTGCAAATTATAAAGATTTGGTGAGAATTCTGGAGCTCAGGACCCAACCAATAGGTGGCATGGCCACCGATGGTAAAGTGATTTAAACTTGGAGTATCCACGATGCCAGAGTTGAAACAGCACAGTGCACGTGGTGGGCTGTGGGACTGCGAAAGGTCACAAAGATAAGGACAAGAAGAGGCCACAGAGAGATTTTGAACAATAGTGAATAAATTTTAAATTTGACACTTTGGTGGAACAGGAGTCAATGGAGATCAGTGAATGCCAGTGAATGGGACTTTCCATCAGGACCTTTCACTGGTTTTCAGGTGAGGAAAGAACGAAAGGCTGAATTTCACTTTAAGTGCTCGGATTTCTCAGAAACTGTTCCAAATTAAAAACAAATAGGATTATTTCAAAATAAAAGCAGAAATCACTGGGAAACAAAAATCAGCAGGCCTGGAGAGAGAACCAATTGAAGTGCAATATGAGTATCCTTCTGAAGAAGAATCACATTGCATTTGGATGAGGGCTAGCAAGTTTTTTCTCTTATGACTTACCAAACTCATCCAATTGCCTACTTCCCCATCCCTAATATGATCTTCAAACCCAATTCTGTCCTCATTTTACCACACGCCGATCTCAGGCATCCCTTGCACCTTTAAAAGCTTATTGTGTACCCAGGTAGGCACTGCCAGTCTGGAGCTGCCCGACATGGTTCCTGATAATTGCCCCAGACATGGTAGTCAGAGGGAAATCAGCACACTGCTTTGTGGATCAGGAGTAGGGCAGGACCTCCTCTTAACCCAGAAACCAGCAGAAGAAGCCATGCTGTAGACCATGCCAGCTTGGTTGGAGGTTACTAGCCATGTTATAGCAGTCTCAGCCAAGTGTACATGCTACCCTCTTCTCTCTACTACTTCGTCCTCAACTTATATCAGCTACTGTACCCAATTCCCACCAAGGTATAGATACAGTTACAACATTCAAAAGACATTTGGATACGTTCAGGAATAGGAAAGGTTTGGAGGGAATTGGGCCAAGCGCAGGCCGGTGTGACCAGTTTAGTTTGGGAACATGGTCAGCATGGACAGTTGGACCAAAGGGTCAATTTCCTTGCTGTGTAATTCTATGACTCTAAGTGCTGAAGCATCCTGTAAATAGATTGGTGATGTGCAATGACGGTTCTTGGAGGTTGGCACAAATCAGGTACCAATGCTGGTGGCGGCACGGTGGCTCAGTGGTTAGCACTGTTGCCTCACAGCACCAGGGATCCAGGTTCAATTTCACCTTTGGGCAACTGTCTGTGTGGAGTTTGCACTTTCTCTTCATGCCTGTGTGGGTTTCCACCGGGTGCTCCAGTTTCCTCCAACAGTCCAAACATATGTAGTTTGGGTGGATTAACCATGCTAATTTACCCATAGTGTCTAGGGTTATACAAGCTAGGTGGGTAAGTCATGGGGAATGCAGGGTTGAGGGGATAGGCTGGGGACTGTGTCTGACTGGGATGCTCTTTGGAGGGTCAGTATGGACTAGCTGGGCTGAATGGCCTGCTTCCACACAGTAGGGAATCTGTTAATCTATGGTGGATGAGGGATAGTGTGTGGCAAATACCCATGGAGCATACCCTGAGATGCTGGTGCCCAGTGTCCAACATGGTCAGAGCAAGCAATGAGGTGAATATGCCAGGTACCCATTCTGACTTTCAAGCCGTGTTTTCTTAACATCTAAGATTGTTTTGTGAGCTTAGTGAGATAGGAAACTGAATATTAATGAGGCAAATTGGTCTGTCAAAGGTGTTTAACGAGCAATAATATCCTTAATTGGCAACTTGTTGCTGCGTAGTGAGAAACATGCTAATTGTGCTTGTCAAAAGCATGAAGGAATGGACAGTGAGATACTCCTGACATTGAGACATAACACACATCACTCAGCCCCCTTTAAGGTTCTGCCCATTATTTTTTCTACCCCTCGGACTTTCTGGTTTTTTTGCCAGATCACCAGCATCAGCAGCATTTTGCTTTTAGTTTTGGGGCATTTTAAAAAGACCCTTAACATTACTGTCACCAAGTAGCTGTGGTTAGATGACATGATGGGCTATGTTGATCAGATAAAAAATGACAGGTAACCTGCTTTATTGTGAAAGGGTGGCTACAGGGGCCCTGCTTTTCTAGATGTTGTACCCAGTCACCTTTTTCTTTAATTGGCAGTATTTTGCATTCCAAACGGGAATTATGAGGGCACAAATGTACAGGTCTCAAGTATAGTTCAAAACTAAGTTTACAATCAAGACCTTAAAACCAGTGGAATTCTATTTCCAAAAAGCTGCATCTTAAATTTTCAAAGAATCAGAGATTGGATAGTGACCTTCTTTGAATTTTAAGCATGACTGCTTGGAATTTCTTTACAAGTATCGGGTGCCTAAAATATATTCCAACTGCAATCATTTACTGTCGCTAGAATTGCACACTAAACAGTAAATTCAAAAAGATATACTCTTTGACAGATTGCAGCAGGAGAAAGAATAGAGTACAGGGTATTTATATTTAGCTTAACAATGAGATAGATTAGATATTTAAAAAGGTGTGAATTAAAACCGAACGACAAGGAAAATGCCTTCCAATGAGCGGACTTTATTTTCAAAATTTCAACGTTATCTACAGTGCAATAGGAACAAAGTTGACTACAAATTGGTGTAGAGGAGGCAGGGTTGATATAAAACACACCAGGACATGGTGTATGGCAAAAAATGTTTGCATTTATATAGCACCTTTCATGATCTCAAGGTGTTCCAAGCCAACAAAGTACCATTGAAGTGTTGGAGCTGATGTAATGTTTCGAAACACGACAGCCAGGTTATGCTCAGTAATGCCCCCCTCCACAAAGTGCAGTATGATGATGATCAATTAATTTGCTTTCATGATGCTGATTGAGGGTTAGATATTAGCCAGGACATGGAGAGAACTCCTTACTCTTGTTTGACATATAGTTGGAAGGTCTTTTACACCCACTTCCGAGAACTGATGGACCTCAGTTGTCATCTAGAGCATGCCTCTTTCTTGCGGTGAGATTCCCACCAGGACTGGCTACTTGTAAGGAGGAGAATCATAGATCACTCAACAGAAACAAAAAGAGGAATGATTTCTAATTTTCTTTATAAAATCATGTCAGATTGAATGAAGAAATGCTTGAACTAAGTGCACGTGTTCTTCAGTGGTTCGATACTAGTTCGAGCTTTGCATTTTCACCGAGAATAAGGTCATTTTCAATC